CCGTCCACCCTAAGTTGAATGTGTTGAGCTTTTGGCAGCTTTTAATAGTAGGGCCCCCTATGAAACCAATGCCCAAGTCGCGGCGCAAAATGCCGCTTCGGAAGAGAGAAAATCGCTCTAAAATAGCGAAGATGCACGAGGACCCCCATCCATGCCCACCCTCTCCCATCTATGCCCGCCCATTTGTGTGCGCCCATCCAATCACCGTTCCGGAAAGCCGCCTGTGGGTTCTCCGGAACGGGGATTGTTGAAGTTTTCGCGCATTCTCGACTTCATATTCGGAATCAGGGACATGAGAAGGCCCTGAAACGACAAAAACGTGGAAGTCGAAAATCTGGGTGGACGGTGCCTTCAAAGATGGGGTATGGGCTACAATTTATTCAGTTTGCCCATTGATAAGTTGAAAAAACAAGCTACAATCGAGTTGAAGTGGGCTGCACCAAATCGCTCTATCGCTGTAGTCTGAACGTCCGCGAGCGTGGCTGCGCGGCCGCCGGCCATAGGCCACTGATTTGAAAGCGCGCCAAATACGCTCGCGGGCGTTCAGCCTACAGCGATATGGGCGATTTCGGTAAGGTAGGCGCTAGACTAAGCGACTATTTTGTTCAGCTGCAAAAGGCGCGCAGAATTAATGTCTGCCATAATGTCTCCTGCTGCTAAGGCCTGCTTCAGCTACAGGTCCCGCGCAGATTTAACGTTAATTTAGTGCGCCTTTTGCAGCTGAACAAAATATTCGCTTAGTCTGGCACCTACCTAATCAACATATCTTCAACTCATATCATAACACAACACGCGCGAGATCCTATAGTCGTCCTCACCCCACTAGTCGGTCGGTGGACGAATTCGAATTCGAACTGGAGCAGGCAGGTCGCGGCAGAGCACGGCACCTTAGCTCTCCGTTCAAATTCACGCATTCACTTTGCGTATTTCTTCGCCATTGCTTAGCAGTTTTTGTATTGTCACAACGTTTATAACCTATATTGAGTTTTTGTAATTGCTGAGCGTTGTTTCCTGCCGCGCTCTGCCGTGACAGGCCTGCTCATTCAAATTTGAATTCGTCCACCGACCGACTAGTGGGGTGAGGGCGACTATACGACATGTGGTCTCAAAAATGGCCAACCGGAAAGTTTCCTGAGTTCTTCTCTTCTGAGCTTAACTGGGCGTGAACAGTCGCATATGTTCTGGCTTCCTAACCCACGAGAACCTTGGCTACATATCGTTCATTCTTTGACTGACAGACTCGTAGCCGCTTTGCACATACTGTCCAAGTCCCCGGACAGACTTCACACGATTTGATCGTCGCGACTGAATCGCGACGAGACAACTGTTGCAACATCATTCCATGCCGATCAACTTGCATTTCGGTTGTGATACTTTTCCAGCCCGAAATTTTTGAATATGAAATGAAAATGAATGGAAATGTCGGCGATTGAGTCGCGACGATCAAATCGCGTGAAGTCTGTCCGGGACCTAAAGAGCTACGCTACTTGTTCAATCCTGTTTCCAAGTAACAAATAACCCCTTCGCTTACAATCAGATATGTAGATACAAGGATAAACTAGTAACCACACGATCAAGCTTGTTTCACCGAAAATGATGAACTGAATTGCCGTGAGATGGCCCATGCATGTGTAAACTCGTACCACGAATCACAATTGACTTGAAGGCAGTGACTCGGCAAATCTCAGCCTAGTCAAATTTGCGCTTACCTGGGGTTTTTCAATACGCTGATCCCGAAAATCCACTTTTGAAAGCTTGAAAACGGCGAAAATAAGCGTTTTTCAATGCCCTTCCCTTTGATATTGGACGAGTGAAGCAAGGCCGATGACGCTAAGTCGTGGCCGGACCCAATGGTTATAGCGTTGCGGCGGGCAGAGCCTCCAATGGTGAGAAGGGAATTGCCAACTCGTCCAGATGCGTGTAAGAGTGGCCTGCGCGTGTAAGTTCGAGAGCGAATTTTCTCGGCAGGGAAAGCATGCTGTGCAAATGGATTGCACTATTTTCATAGTTGGGCGACAAGGAACCTCCCGCGTTGAAATCCCGAGTTGTTGGATTTTGCCGATCCACCGCCTTTGAGGTTTGATTTTTGTGCACATCTCAAATTTGACGAATGAGTTATTGAAGCTCAACAGTAGCATATGCACACTTGATCCACTTCGCACTCCATTATTGGTTAGTTAGCTGACTTGACCAATAACGAAGTTGATGAAGTGGAATAAGTGGATTATGGGTGGCCAAAACACTTCCTCAGCTAGTTCATGCATACTGTGGGCGCAATCGGTGCTACAGTTTTTTTTTACCACTTCTTTGGGACCGGCCATACTATTCCTATGGTAGGTGCCAGAGTAAGCGAATATTTTGTTCAGCTCCGTTCAGCTGCAGAAGGCGCGCAGAATTAATGTCTGCTGCATAATCTCTAATGCTGCCCAAGTCCTGCTTCAGCTGCAGGTCCGCGCAGAATCAACGTTAATTTTGTGTGCCTATTGCAGCTGAATGAAGCTGAACAAAATATTCGCTTACTCTGGGGTGCTCTGACATTCGGTCCGTGCGGCGCGCGCGTGCTTCCCGCGCGGCGCCTTGTAGTGCGAGGGGGCCGAACGCTCCGTGCGCGGGGGCCGAAAGGTGAATGCGCGCGGGCCGCACGGTATCGAAAGCGCTCCGTCCGCAAGCTACTGGAGAATAAGTCTTTCATAGAGCTTCTTTTTCTTCTTTCGTCGTGCCGTGAGTATTCTCAACTTCACATTCCAAAAAAATTCCAGATTTGAAAAATTCGGAAATTTGAATTTGAATTCTAAAATTTAAAAATTCAAATTTAGCACCCATTTGGGACGCTGTCGAGGGATAATCTCCGTAGAAGCAAGAAACCTCTTATGTTCCTGCGATTACTCAAATGCCAAGAAATGATAAGTCAGCTTCACAAGCAGGGTCAAGCGTGTTGATGCGATCCGGAACCCTCATTTACGACCCCCCCTTGAAGGTACCCACCCATCTACGACCCCCCGCCCCATCTACCCCTTTACCTCCCCTGCCTACATTCCTCACGGTAACTTGCATAAACGAATGTCAATCTCAAAAAACACCTGCTTGGGAACTTCAGTGAGGTTTCGGAAGCAGAATTTCTAGGCCAATGGGTGCGCCCAGCATCTATTGCACACATACAAACACCTTAATAATGTTGGAGATTCTGCAAGTTTTTTTTTGAATTTTCAGGCATACTTCAGGCCAGCAAATTCGGTCCCCGTATGCAACATAAATTTTTGCACGGAGAAAAAAATGACATTTTTGAACTACAAAAGATGTTTTCGACTAAAAAGCTTACTTTCTACCTCTTGCAAAGTTTTTCCTGCGAAAAAAACCGCTCTAGCGCCGTCCAGAACGATGTCAAAAACGTGCATGAGCACGGCAGTTTGAAAATTCGTAAATAGGGCCAGGAAAAGACTGAGAGGCTGCAATAAACAGATTCTGTAGCATAGTGCCCAGACTATCCATAGAAAAAGTTTCAGCCCTTGAGGAGCAGTGAGCTCGAAAAAATTTAGATGCGACTCTCGCAAATTTAGATGCGATCCTAAAAATCAAAAACCGGGATTTTTAAGCTTGAAATTTTGTAACTCATCGGAGAAGTTATAAAACTGCCTGAAATTTTTAGGATAGAAAGTAGGAGGATGGCCTCGTATTACAGCTAAATTGCAGCCGACACGCTTCAATAGCTCCGGAGAAATTTAGATGCGACCCAGATACGACCCCCCCCCCCCCTTTTGTCATTTTTTGCCACCATACATAAAATCGTAAGAAAATCCGAAGGCTATAAAGTAGGACCAAATCTTGCACAAATGTAGTAGAGCACCTCTAGTACAAGTAAACTGTAAGGACCGTATGAAAAGCACTACAGATTTACAAATTATTGATGATTAGCGTTGATAGAATTATGCGCTTTTGTCGAGTGTGCGACTCTTCAGTGAGCCTTCGGAAGCAGATCTCTACACCAATCGGTCCATCCAACATCTTTATCACACATACATGCCTTTAGTAGCATTTAAGCTTCTAATATTTTTTATTTTTTTTAATTTTAGTTATGCCAGCAGAGTTCGATCCCCGTTTGCGAAAATATTTTGCGGAAGAAATAGTGATTCCCATCAAAAAAATGAACTGAGTCATAATCTTTCAAAAATGCAGCAACACTCGTTTTTATATGATACATTGGTACACGGCATTCCATGAATTTATTGTTAAGAACATGTAATAATTATTTGCCATTCGATTTCCTTCCATGCTTACGGCTTTTTATCCAAACTACCTTCTTTCACGACGCTTATAGCGTGTGAGAATTGGAGGCGCGCGGGCCGCACGGTACGTGACCCCGCCCGTAAATCTAGGCGCGCGGGCCACACTGCTCGCCATTAACAAGCGCGCGCCGCACGGACCGAATGTCAGAGTTAGGATTATATGTCGCCGAATTTGAGAGAGTCCTGCGCGGATTCCCTGCAGGAACGCATGTCCCGCATGTACAAGGTGCGCATTTGTCGCAAACGACCGCGGGGACCCCCCTTTTTCGGCGACATATAGTCCTCTACCCCTTACTCTGACAGCCATAGTGTACCTATGATTCCTGCGTTCCTGTGATCCTGCGGTACCACAACAATGTATATTGCGGGAAAATAATGTGCACTGATATTCGCAAAGCCCTCCGTAGTGCGGCACATTGGAAATGGAGAAGTCACGGGAGTTGCAGGAATTACAGGAATCGCAGGAGTCACCTCTTGGAATAGTATGGCCGGTTCCTTTGCCTCCTGCTTAGCGATGAGAATAGGTTACGGTGCGTGGAGTATAGTGCACTTCTTGGCTATGCAAGCGTCGTAATGTGAGTGTCAAACGGCAGTTCCCTTCATGCGCACGCTAGAGTTTATATGGTCGCGGGCGTTTGAGAACGATGAAGCTAGGATAAGTCGAGTCCAAACAGAACTTCGATCTGTCGTTCTCCAATATATGTGCCTCAGGTCAGCATGATCAATATTAAGGGAATATTTGCACTGCTGATGATTATTACTCTCAGTCGATATGAATTGCGCTTGGGTTTTGAATCAATCGCTGATTCTATGCCGGATAGACGTGTATTATTGGGCGTTAACTGTTTCTCGTTCATCTTTTTCGCTTCAGCGATTGATGCGAGCGGCCTGCACGGCATTCGTCGCATCGGCTCCTCCACGATGTGGTGTCAATCTTTCACGAATCATTGGCATTGCATCGTTTTCTGGACCCATCCACTAGCGAATCCTTGCAATTCGATTAATAAAGTGATTTAGAAACTGTCTATGTTGCGAAAGGGTAAACGTCGCACCAGCTTGTGCTTTCTCTCTTATCTCTCAATCTAGCGGCGAAACAGAGAAGCTCTCATTCTTTCTCTTTGCAGTGCTCGCGCAAATCGACTCACGTGCCATTTGCTCCGTGGCGAAGAATTTCTTTGAATCTATTCAGCGAAAGCAAGATTGTCATATCTAACAGCAAGACGATACTGTTGTTCATGAACATTTCCTCGCTTCTTTGTACCCTTTGCGATTTACAATCTTTCATCCACTTTGCATGAGATGCTAGCTGAATGCAGGAATTATCAACTCCCTGGCACCTTGACCATTGATTTAATTCCCGTAACTAAACTAAAGCTAGCGTGGCTACAAAAGATTTTCTGCGCTCGCGCAAAAACTTTGTTTACACTCAAGAAGTCGAATTCTGGCTTCTGTAATTGATATGTGGTCAAGCAAATGTGCTGCACCGCACGCGCTGTTTTTGATTTTTGTAGTCACCACATGTTGTACTTTCTCTTGGTTCCACATCAAGCGATGCTTTCATAGTTTTTTAGATGGGATAACTCAATATCCAAAGTCATCTAGGAGTTTCTTCAATTATCCGTACAAGTAATGATCACTGTTTCAGAAGTAGTACTAGTGTCAGAGAAATTAGTGATGCTAGCTGCTCGTTTTCTTCGACTACCGGGAAGGTTTATAAACTATACTAGCATCCATAATATTCATTTATCTAGAGGTTGGTTTTTTGTACTGTTCGAAAGTTTCAGTCAATTCTGAGCTTAGAGTTACTCATTCTTACCTTTTAGCCTTTTTTCTGCCAACAATCCAATTCAAACTCTCAGACATTGGTGAAGGTATAGCCGAAGTACAGATTAAAGAATGGTAATCTTTTTTGCATTGTATCGTCGTTAGTATTTTCGCGCTTGAATGCCACTAGTATGCGATTCTGTTTAGGCATGTTAAAGTCGGCGATGAAGTTTCACAATTTGATAATATATGCGAGGTTCAAAGTGACAAAGCAGCAGTAACGATTACTAGTCGATTTGATGGTGTGATCAAAAAACTGTGAGTGTCTGTTAACGGAGTATTTTCTGCTTCGTTTATTTCTTTTCGGATTACATAGGTTTTCACAGATATTTCAACGTTGATGATGTGGCTCGTGTAGGCCAGCCTTTAGTTGACATCGAAGTTGCCGAAGGAGTTGCTGAGGAAACAGCGGAGCCGGCCAAAGGTAAAGTGATGCTACCACAGATATATTTCTTATTATTTTTAGTGGGTCTTTATTCATTGTTTTTTGCTTTCCTTTTCTTTGTGATTTAATAGCTTGCGACGGAGTCATTTAGTGAGCCGCAGTTGATTTCCCTAGAGCATAGGGTTTTATTTGATAGTGGTCAAAACAATTAGGGATGGAAGTGTTTTGCATGTCTCTCAGAACATACACGGAAAAGTAGTCTTAATTTTTACGTAGGTTCTATGAATACAGTCTTTTGATTGAGAGTTTCATGGCCTCAAGGGTGCATCAGTGTTTGGTTAAGCTTACATATTGTGGGATACGACAGAAAACATATGAATCATCATTAATGCGTCACCCCTGTTCTTTACAGTTTTTTTGGCTTAGTTCTATGACCAAAAGCGTTTTTTTAGAAAGGGAATTATCTTCAGTGTCAAGTATCTGCCGATACTATGCTTCAGTGTCACATTCGATAATAATAATATGCTTCACTGTCAAAAGTAACGGCCTTATCAATCCAAGCGTAGCTTCGTGTCATTTTATGTTTTTTGAAGCTTCTTTCCGACTACGAATGATTCGCAAACTCATGAACTCTATGCAAGACCTGACAATGATGGGGTTCTAGCGTATCTTAGAATTAAAAAATATATGTACATTCAGCGAGAGCGAGACTGAGTTTGCCTAAGCATCTTGAATTGTCATGCACATAGAGGAAGAGATAGCCAATGCAGCATAATCATATCTGTTGCGTATGAGTACACTTGGGTCGTTTTCGAAGTCTAAAATTTGTTTTTCCTGGTAGAGCATACCAAACCTATGAGTAAATAAGTTGTATTTTCACTGCAATCTACTCTCATAGTCTAGAGTTTATCGTATTACGATCACAAAAACTTCTATATATTGATCATTTTCTTCATAGAAACCTTTTGCTTTTATCATCAAACCAGCAGAGTTGACATGATATCCACGCATTATCACTTTTGCGCTTGTTTGCAGCCTGAGGACTAGTGCTTCTTCTTCAAAATAAATATCTCAATTTGGTGTGCTTTCTAAGTGAGGAGCCATTTTCTGTTTTTTAAGCTGAGGATCTTCCGATTTTTAGCGGAAGCTCCAAAAGAGCCAGAACCTGCTGCAGCGGAGGCTCCCAAACCTGAAGCTCCGAAGGCTCCTCCACCATCTGCTACGACTGAACTCGAGCAGGAAATCATATCCGGGAAGTTTTTGGCAACACCAGCTGTTCGCAGAATTGCCATGGAAAACAAGGTCAGAATATACACGGCCGCTTATGACAACATACACAGCGGTAACCTTTCTCAGGTTGATCTCAAAAAAGTGAAAGGCACCGGTAAGGACGGGCGTATCTTAAAAGAAGACGTTTTGAAGTTCCTCGGACAGGTTAGCGAAGGTATGGGCCTTTTGAATAAGTCTTATTAGAACTTCTGTATCTGACATGCTTTTGTCATTATCATCCAGATTATCAACCAGGTGCCACAAATATTCGATCATCGCCGGCATTTGGTGCGCGACCTGCAGTGAAAGAGGTGCGCTCTCAGCGTATATCTCATGTGCTTCATACCAATCGTTTGATTATACAGTACGCTCCTCTCACTGAAGATCGTGTTGTGCCTATCCGTGGCTACACTCGCGCGATGATCAAAACAATGTCTGATGCACTGAAAATACCACATTTTGGCTACGACGATGAGGTATTTCTTTTTTGATTTTGGGATCTGTCGTCGTAAAATAACATCTGTTTGCGTTGAAATTCTTGGTTTCAATTTGCGTCGTTAAAGTTTTTACTTTGTCATAGAGCCGGAATTTTTTTAGTGTTGTCAGCGCATTTCTAGGCTCTCCCACATCAGAAATGATTCCCAAAAGTTTTTCGTTGTTGTCTTCTTTTTACACCTTTCACTCTATTTTACTCTCTGAATGCAGGGAACTCTTACTTCCAAGTCTTAAAACCGCCTTCTAGTACGTGTAGGATACTCTGAATTTGTTCGTTTCTCGTTTTCTTTCTGCGGTCAGCAAACGTTTTCTTCTGTACGACAACGAAGAGAGGACCTCAGTATGTCGCAAATGAAAAAAGGAGGGAAATCGAGTTTGAATATTGCATGTGTGTGGCCGTAAATACTTGTAATGATTGTTACAGCCCTGCTACAGTCTCTCTAGACCTTCTTTCTAGATCTGTGCGGACGAGCTTATCGTACTTCGAAAACAAGTCAAAGAATTTGCTTCAGAGAGAGGCATTAAACTAACTTTTATGCCGTTCTTCATCAAGGTCCGATCGTTCCCCTCATCTCTAGCAAATGTTGGTATTATATGTTTTGAAGGCTGCTTCATTGGCCCTCCTGGAGTTCCCGTCTCTCAATGCATCAACAGATGAAAAGATGGAAAACGTGATTTACAAAGTGGGTACTTTACTCTTTGCATATATTCTCTGCCACAAAGTGCTCTTCGTTTTTTGTTTCCTTCAATATTAAATAACTTGAGGCTTCGCATAACATTTGCCTTGCCATGGATACTCCAGGTGGTCTCGTCGTACCCAACATCAAGAACTGCGAACAGAGGTTTGTTTCTCGTGTTTGTAGTGATTTTGCAATGCTCTTATGGATTATTTTCTTGTAAGTGCAACGATTTGCATGATACTTTCATTCGGTTGACCACGCCAACCACTTTACTCGCGAACCAGAGATAAGGTTTTACTTTCACGACCATATTTTCGTTGTTGATGTTTGAAAGTTTCCTGTGTTTTCTCACTTGCTTCTTCTCTGCTTCTTGATTCTTCATCCACATACCCAACAGGCTGATGTAGTGTACTAGCTTTTCAATTTTCGATGATCCTGACCATTGAACTCATTTTGAGTAATTTTTACTAAAAAAGTAAGTGTATTCTTTTCGAGCTTTTCGCCAGATTCTAGCGTTGACTTTTAAGAAGCTGTGGGCTATTTTTGTTGTCAATTTTGAAGAGCAAAGTTCACGAACGAACCTTGAGCATCGTGGTGAGGACACTCAATTGTTCAATATAGTTAAACTGATATATTTGTACGCCTTCCGAAAGTCTGATCTCTTGCTGCTCTCAAAGCTCGTCGCGTACTTTTTTACGACTATCAAGAAATAGATCAAGTGATTTTACGCAAGCAATAAGTTTCAGTAAATGCCGCTAAATTCTCATGAGCAGAGAGGGAGAAAATCATCAGAATTATTAGTGCATCTCATATAACTTTTCTAATACGGAAAGGCAGTAGATTGAGTAGGATTACTTTGTATGTACAGAGTGGGGCAAAAGTCTGGGAGCCGACTTTGAAATGTCGTAACTGATGATTTTGATTCCAAATTTGTGCCACATAATGTTGCAATCATCCTCTACAGATCACGCTTTATCTAGCTGAAAATGCTTGCCGTTGGTTTTTGTAAGAATTGGATTTATCAAACAAGTGCTTCTGCAGAGCGAGAAAATCAAAATTTTTAGTATTCACAATTTATTTTGTAGCTAAAGCCACAGTGACGATTCTGCAACACTTTGATGACATATCTGTATATGATGTAAATCCTGCAACATTCTGATGCATATGATGTATATTTTGCAACATTGTGATGCATATGATGTAGAGGAGGCTTTGCGCTACTGTATCGTAATGGTTGCATTTGCTAGAAACTGTAAAATCGCAAAAAATTTTCGATTAATACCTGGGTTCCAGTGGTCATTTTTCTTTGAGATAACTGTGAAAGTACAGGAGCGCAGCGGATATTGTTTTAAAAGTCTTCTATACAAGCATATATTTGAATTCGATCGATGAAATAATTCTAATATTTTTTAGATTATGATTTTTCGCTCCCATTACCGCAACCGCATCCAAATTTAGTATGCGACTAATTCCAAATTTTTCTTTTCTAATGTTGCAAAAATCTCTCCTCACTATGTTGTATCCAAAAGCTTGCTCTATCATACTGCAATTTGCCTAGTGAAAGAAACAGTTATCCTGAAGGCGTGGGAAGATTTTACCACGACTGCCTGCGTGCTACACCAGGCGGACTCGCCAAGATTTCGAATAGCTGCTTTATGCCAGATGAGGCAGTTTCAAAATTTGAGAGCTGCGCTGTTTTTGTAAAGGTCGATTTATATGTGCATCAACTTTGTGTTCCTAGGTACTTTCCTTCTTCGTGCGCGTCTGCCGGTTGGTGGCTGCTATAGTCACATGCCGGCAGGATCGCTATATATTGGGGCCACAGGGCTGATCATATCATTCGGCACCAGCAACGGCTGCAGCGCTGGTAATGCATACCGAACTCCACGAAAACTATAATATTTAGAAACTAGCTGGCTTACCCGGCTCCGCGGGTGGAGGACATTAGGTCGCCGAATTTGGAAGAGTCCCGCGCGGATTCCCTGCAGGAACGCATGTCCGCGCATGTACAAGGGTGCGTGTTTGTCGCAAATGACCGCGGGGACCGCCCTTTTTCGGCGACCTAATGTCCCCCACCCCGGCTCCGCCGTATCCGGACCAAACTTGGCACACATACACTTCGGGCCCCGGCGGGTGTCACAGTCCACTTTTCGTTATCGATCGATGTCGATTTTACCGATTTTTATCGATTTTTTTGCAGAGTTCACCTACAGGGCTAGGAGTTGGCACAGGGGGGGGGAAGTGAGCATGGATTCCGAATACAATATTAGTTTTCAGAATTATCGATTACTTTTATTGATTTTATCGATTTTTTGTAAATTTTGACATGCGAGGCTGGGATTTTGCACAGGGGTAATCGAGCATGCTGATTACGAACACAATATTAGTTTTCAGGATCGTCCATTACTTTTATCGATTTTATCGATTTTTTTGTAAAGTTTGACCTGCGGGGCTGGGAGTTTGCACAGGGGGGGGGGGTAATCGAGCATGCAGATTACGAATACAATATTAGTTTTCAAGATCGTCCATTACTTTTATCGATTTTATCGATTTTTTGAAAATTTGAGCTAGGGGGCTGGAATTTGGCACAGGGGTGTAATCGAGCATGCTGATCACCCCCCTTGGGGATGATCAGCATGCTCGATTACCCCCCTGTGCCAACTCCCAGCCCCCTAGCTCAAATTTTCAAAAAATCGATAAAATCGATAAAAGTAATCGATAATCCCGAAAACCAATATTGTATTCGGAATCCCCATGCTCGATTGCCCCCCCTGTGCGAACTCCCAGCCCCGTAGCTCAAACTTTGCAAAAAAATCGATAAAATCGATAAAAGTAATCGATAATCCCGAAAACCAATATTGTATTCGGAATCCCCATGCTCGATTACCCCCCTATGCGAACTCCCAGCCCCGTAGCTCAAACTTTGCAAAAAAAATCGATAAAATCGATAAAAGTAATCGATAATCCTGAAAACCAATATTGTATTCGGAATCCCCATGCTCGATTACCCCCCCCCCCCCTGTGCCAACTCCCAGCCCCCTAGCTCAAACTTTGCAAAAAAATCGATAAAATCGATAAAAGTAATCGATAATCCTGAAAACCAATATTGTATTCGGAATCCCCATGCTCGATTACCCCCCTGTGCCAACTCCCAGCCCCGTAGCTCAAACTTTGCAAAAAAAATCGATAAAATGGATAAAAGTAATCGATAATCCTGAAAACCAATATTGTATTCGGAATCCCCATGCTCGATTACCCCCCTGTGCCAACTCCCAGCCCCGTAGCTCAAACTTTGCAAAAAAAATCGATAAAATCGATAAAAGTAATCGATAATCCTGAAAACCAATATTGTATTCGGAATCCCCATGCTCGATTACCCCCCTGTGCCAACTCCCAGCCCCGTAGGTGAACTCTGCAAAAAATCGATAAAAACGATATCGATCGATGACGAAAAGTAGCCTATGACACGCGCCGGGGCCCGAAGTGTATGTATGCCAAGTTTGGTCCGGATCGGTTCAGAAATGGAATTTTCTATTCGGAACATACGTACACACAGACAGACATACAGACAGACAGACAGACAGACAGACAAACAGACATTCAGCTTTATATATAAGATCATAGTCAGCCTTCCGATCTGTGATCGGACCGTTTCACCGCTATGAATGAGCGACCATATCGCCTGATCGGGCGTCGCCCGTCCGTTGGGTACCGCCCGTGGGTGTCACTGATTTTCTCAACTATTCGTTGCAGATCCGTTTTGGAAATAGCTGCGGAGCTGCAGCGACTACAAGAGGACGGTAAACGAGAGAAGATCTCTCGCGAAGACCTTGCTGGAGGCACATTCACCCTCAGTAACATTGGAAATGTAAGCAAAGACTAACTCCGTCTACACTACCCGTGGGTTATTCCTTACAGATCGGAGGGACGTATGTCAGTCCTGTGATTTTCCCTCCACAAGTCGTTATTGGTGCGTTGAGTAAGATACAGAAACTACCCAGATATGATGAAGATGATAACGTAAGCCTTCCGACTGACTTGCAGAGTTCGATTGAAGCTGATTTGCTTCTCATTCAGGTCGTTCCCACGAACATATTGAAAGTTTCTTGGGCTGCTGACCACCGGGTTGTCGACGGAGCTACAATAGCTCGCTTCAGCAACAGGTGAGAAAAATCAGCTTAGCACGAAAGTTCTGTCGTTGCGGTTCTGCTAAATCATAGTAGAAGAATTTTGAAGGAACACTGAGTTTGCGTCGCTTTTGTTTTGCTGTTTATACTCCATAATCTGAATTGTGCGTTAACCCTTTTTAAATGTCAAAACTTCTATCAAAATGAAGTCTGAAAGCAAAGAGCTACAAGCGAAACAGGGCGCACCAAGGGGGAGGGAGTGCGCCCCCTCCCCGAAATGAGTCGCGAATTTTTTGGAAGTTATTCACTTGAGTTATAAAAATGAAGTGACTTGCTTACACTTAGATCAAAATATTTTTTGATTTTGAAAGTATGAAATACCCTTGAAAATTCTCTTTGAGGGCGTGGCGCCGCCACCCCCTTCTTCTAAAAATTCGAGATTGGGGCTTGCAAATATCTTGGAAAGCATCCCAAAAATTTTTTGGAGTGCTTGGGGTGAGCGAAGATTTATAGTATGCAAGGATTCAGCGCTTTCATTCGAAAAGAATTTTTGTCGCTCTTTCTTCCCCCCCCCCCCCCCTCATCCCGAACGGAAATATCCTGAGCTGCTATCAAGAACCTTTCCTTTCCGGTGCATGCGACGAAAATTCTCATTTTCCTTGTCCAAGAATTCACAATTTCAGTCTTCACATTTCGGTATAAATTTATGGTCGTTTTTTGCTTTCCATGATATATGGACGGTGCATAATTCTTGTACCTAACAAGGGAAGCCACCTAAGACAGGTCGGCCTTTCAGAAAACGGCTCATATATCCAAATCAGCTTGAAACGCAGATTTCAAATATGCTGTCCTTATTGTTAGCTGCGAAGCATTACTCAGAAGCGAGTCATAAGCTTTTTAGCATGTTTAATTGACGTACAACTGAATATGGAAAAAAGGCTTGTGAACGGCATCTGCCCAAAAAAGATGCTGGGGAATCGAAATAACATCAAACTGAGTCATTTGGCCTTGATAGAGTTATTATGCATTTGAACCACTACCTAGATGAGTAGTATCCGTAAGTCGGTCAACACGCAAGCTTTGCTCAGGAAAAAGATCATAACTCGCTTCAGAGAAATGCTTTGCAGCTATGGATAGTACATTTGTAATCAGCGTTTTGAGCTGATTCTGATTACAGGTGTCGCTTTTCAAAGGCCGACCTAAGTTTGACGACTTTCCCTGTACGTCTTTAACAATGAGTTTACTTGAATTGATACACAAGCGGTGGAAAAATTTGCGTTTCCAAAAGTACTTGAAACAAAATTCTTTGCTGGCATATGACAAGGATAAAAGCTAATCTAAAACAATACAAAAAGTGCTTTGTTGAACCTTGATCGTTTAATTTTCTATTTTATTGTGACCCGATGTTGTTTTTTGCTCTTTGTGAGCAACTTCTGTCTAAAAGAAATGTGGTGTCGAATGTTTTGAATAGGTGTGATTTTCGAATTTGTTTTATACGATTTTCATATTTATTCTCTAAAATTTATGATAAAACACTTTCTATAATATACATAACTATGAATGAATTGTAAAAATTTGATTAGTTCAAGCATCTTTAAAACATTTTCTGGTGCAAGAGCATCAACATCAACATCAACATTAGTATCCAAAATTTCACAAACTTAGCGCCACTCACTGAGATTCGCTCTTGATGGCAAACAAAGTCACTCTCATTTAATCCCCGCCACCACCGAAATATTTTCATCCTTAGGGCCGCATGCACTAACATCCCCGCGGGAAGGGGATCGCAGCTTAAAAGAAAGCTTTATATTTCGAAACTCCAGATACCTGGATTTCACGTTGTGTACCTATCCGTAAGTATTCCTACTACCCTTCACTATGAACATGTTGAAGAGGAGCTAGAAGCTGTACGAACCGCATTTTCCACCTTTAGTATGATCCCTGATGATCCCCGGCGCTTTTCTTTAAAGTCACTTTTCTTTCTCCGAAGTTATCGAATAACTTCCAAAGTTGTGCACATTATCTGACCCAACAGTGCTAAGCATGTTGCTGATAAGAACAAATGATGTTTTGAAGTCATGAAATTTTTGATGATCCGCAGGTCGAAATTAGAGGTTTACCGAAAAATTCAACTTTTTGGAAACTCGTTTGTTCTCATTAGCAACATGCTTAGCACTGTTGTGTTAGATGTTCAGTACAACTTTGGAAGGTTTTCGTTAACTTCGGAGAAAGAAAAATGACTTTAAAGAAAAGCGCCGGGGATCATCAGGGATCATACAAAGGCTGGAAAATGCGGTTCGTACAGCTTCTCGCTCCTGTTCAACATGTTCATAGTGAAGGGTAGTAAGAATACTTACGGATAGGTATACAACTTGAAATCCAGGTATCTGGAGTTTCGAAATATAAAGCTTTCTTTTGAGCTGCGATCCCCTCCCCAGCGGGGAGATTAGTGCATGCGGCCCTTAGAATCTCTTCAGTTCTCTGTTGCTTAGGCTCCCGCCAGAGTGCCGAAGTTATGCCAGCGCTACGCCAGCATTTCGATCGATACACGTGTATTTCGTTGGGGACGTCAGCTAGCCCCGCCCAACGAAACACACGTGTATCGATCGAAATGCTGGCGTAGCGCTGGCATAACTTCGGCACTCTGGCGGGAGCCTTAGCTCCCCTCCCTCTCCCCCTCTCCCTCCATCCCTAGGTTGCGTTCAAGTTACCCACACTGGTTTTATTCAGGTATTACTTACAGCTCATAATGATTGCTGCGGTTTTTGGTGTCGCTTTCCAACACTTTTGTAATAGACATTTCTTCTGCGGAGATGTTATCCGTAGCATAAGCTTTTAGTTTACAACGTGTCAATATGTTCTGATACCCGGGCGCTGCTAAAAAAAATAGAAGCTTTGAAAAGAAGCCGCAGAATAGATCGGTCCGAGCTGCGGATATCATTTGAACGAGTGTCAACGCTTTTTCTTTACAAATCATTTTTGTGCAGTAATAGATGTATTTGTGAACAGATTACCAATCCAATTTGACCGTAAAAGGATTTTTTGAAGTGGTGTTCTTGAATTGTTCTTTGTGAAGACTTTGAGAAACGACAGAACTTTCCTTACTATACATCATGTTTGAAAAGCCTTTGATTCTACCTTTTAGGTGGAAATTCTACATCGAACATCCTGCTACGATGATTACTTTGCTGAAATAATGATGAATTACTATCGCAGACTTATCATGGCTTACAGCTTTTAGGTGCCTCTTCGTTAAGCATTATTCTTAATTATGCATTTTTTGGTGGCCTTCGAATATCAACAAATTTCCATAACGGTTGTTGGAAAATGACTCTACGAGTTTTTCAGGTGAAAGTGCTGTTTTAGTGTTGTAGCTTTTTATAGTTATTCTAGGGATAGCTCGTTGCTTGTTACGCTAAATGCCACATGACATCTGGTCTTAAGACTTCTAATCACATATCTATCTTAGCTAAGCTCAACTTGTTGTAGGAAGCATAAATGTTCATCGAATGAATTATTCATCTTTACCTTATTGTTGGTGCATCATGCTTGAAAGGGAAGTAAAAATTACGTATTACCCGGTTTTAAGGTTAGTTGAATATGTATGTTTACTGATCGGATCAAATTGAAGGGTAGGAGAAGAGCATGCGGATGACAGAAGAGTTTGTCACATTGCTTCTTACAACCAGTGGGCGATTGTGTACATCAGATTTTTTTAATAATGAGTGCTGTAAGGATTTACTTCTATCAATATACTGGACGATGTTCATAAAAATTCTCTACGAAGAAATGGTGGGATTCATGACATTCGAAAGAATACATAAAGGTTTTTCTTCTGCGAGATGTTGAATTGCTAGTGATGCATCGATTGTACGTGCGGTTTCAACATGCTTCAGTGGCTGAGAATGATTGAAGAGGCAAGATGGAGGGGCAAGAGAATGTGCGGTTTTTGTTTGTTCAACACTAGAGCAATTGGAAGGACATAGATTGTGAGGAAGCAACGTTTAATAGATATGAGACCCTAATGGATACACAATTAACTTTCTTTCTCAGTTTTGACGAGGGTTATCAGCAAGGTAATAGTTTTCTTCTCTATCTGCGCGAATGTAAAATTTCACCAAGAGTGCAGGCGAACCACAGAAAGATTGATGATGAGCATGTATTGGCCTGTGTACAAAAAAGTGCTTTCATGTCCCAAGGACGGGGAGAAATTCGGGGCAAACAGTTGGGGATTTTGGGCAAAGCGGTAAGTGCGTTAGGCGCATTAGGTATGCAGTAAATAAATTTGATAATTGAGGATTAAGCAGAGCTACTTGTGGCACTCTGTAGTACGAAGTGTAGTTATGAGTGCTAGTTGAGCTTGGTGGTTCAGTCGGTAAATAAAATCTGCTTTAAGGATAGACTTCAAGTAGAGAACTATTTGAAGTGGAATCTTTGGGAAAAAAATGAGCGGTGCTCGACGAGATTATTGCATTGAAGCTAGTGAGGGATATTTCTGCCACCTCCGATAACACTTGAAAACAGTGTTACGGCAAAATTTTGTTTTCCAATTTTTCACCTTTTCAGAGCCTTCTTGCTATGAAAAATCCATATATGGGCACAGCGCACGAAAATGTCGAAAATGAGCTTTTCTCAAAGCTTTCCAGGTCCACATTCAGTGGAAAATAGCGTAAGTAGGCGGAGTCCGAAACGTGGGAGGCGGGGCGCGGAAGACTTCCGGCGCATTGTCACTGAATGCCGGAAAGCTTCGACAAAAGCTCATTTTCGCCGTTTTCATGCGCTGAAAAGCCCAGATATGGGTTCCTCATAGCGAGAAGACTCCGAATAAGTGAGAACTGAACAGCGAAGTTTTGCCGAGACGCTACCTTTTAGGGGCCACAGTATTCTCCATGGATGTGAAATAAGGTCGCAATCTAAGCTCGAGTCGGTTTCATTCCGCAAGCCATTAACTTGCCAATGGCCTGCTATCTTTATACATATCACGAGTATATCGTGATCTTGAACGTGACAATATCAGCTTGCAATATACTCGTGATATAAAGAAAGATAGCCAGCAAATAGATCATTGGCTTGCGGAGAAGCTAATTGTGAGCTCGAGCTTAGGTTACGACCTCGTACGTCAAGTCCATAATTATTACTACGGCCCATGAATACATTTTCCAGATTTTTCGCGCACAAAACTTGCAAAGAAAAGCTTGTCTAAACGGCAAACTTCGCCCCATACTCCTTCCACATATGTGAGTGTAGTATGGCGTAAATATTAGTAAGCAAAACCTTAGAATTATACTGTATGCCCTGCTGATCAGGAAAAACCAAGTAAAACATGAGAATCCAAACGAATGATGTTTTTGTATTTCGGGTTTTTGTTTTTTGGTTTCGCAGCGAAAAAAATTACTGTTGTCTGTTATATGATACAAGTCGGGGGCTCGTTATTTTCTGGAAGGAAATCCGATTAAGGTGGTTGAAATTTAATTCTAGTTCCAAACTTTACGTGGATCTTTGGTAAAGCTTTCTTCATCAAAAAATGCAAATGCACATTCCAGCGGTTAGCAACAGGCCTGAAAAATGCGCATGACATGTTATCACCAGGGTTGAGCGTGTCAGGCGCGCCCGACCTGAGGGGTCGTATCGGTGGTAAGACTGAGGGGGGGGGGGGTCGTAATCAAGAATCGAATTCGCTCAGTAAGGAAATACTACGATCGAGTAAGGTGAAGAAGGAAAGCCTTAGACCGATGCATATCACAACTCGAATAGAATTGAAGGAATGACTGTCGTGACCAGCATATTGATTGACTCCATCGAAGTTTCAGCCAAATTTTAATTCTCCATCCCTTACTTGACACTACTGAGGTCACCAAAGAAGCTTACTATGTAAATTGAGTATAAGCTCCTGCAAGACGAAGGCGGTTGGTTCGAGGTGCGACGTGGCTGTGACGCGGCTGTGACGCGGCTGTGACGCTGCCATATCGCAGCCGCGTTGCACATCGTACCGACCGCCTTCGTCTTGCGGGAGCTTATATAGTTTCCGTAATTAGCATATAAAATTACCATTTCTAGTACCATAGACCATTATTTATTACATTTTCCAGCGTTTTCTATCGTCTCAAAAGCCTGGAATTCAAACATGATTAACTTGGTTTCAAAAGTGAAAGAAGTCAGCTTCTCTATACTCATAACAAAGTAATATTCCCTGTTAGTCTATGCTAGATATTAGAATTCATATCGCTTACAAATAGTGGATTAGGAAATACTGCCAATATTCCAAACATCGCGTTTTTCACCGTGAGCGCGTCGGTGAGTGACTTTTCATACGATGAGCAATTCGGAGGTGCGAGGTGTGAACACCTACGGCTAAGTGTGAAGTCTCGCACCTCCGTGTCTAGTATACTGTAGAGAGAGGGAGGGGGGAGGGGGACTATTCATACGAATGCCTCCACATCATCTTTTGGCAAAGATCCAGTAAAAACTGGCACCATGCCAGGTTTGGGCCTGCTGGCTCCATTCAAAAAAAAACAACTAGATTAGCTTTTGCAGTACCGCGAATTTGGATAAATTTGGAAAACTTGAATACTGTATTTATTCAAATAGTGCTTTGCTGTGAAAAATAACACTATGATCGTTCCAGTTACGAATTTTTTAGTTCAAGTCGACATAATTCGGTCTCTTTTGCAAACGTTTTGAACTGATTTGAGTATTGTTACATGCCTCTCCGACCTTTCAGCATGACATGGAAGTGTTACTCTTCCCACAGGGGATATTGGAGGGGACAGATGGTCAAGAGGCGCGATTTTTCTGGGTGTCATCAACTTAAAACTCCAGTTTCATGCTATGGGAAAATTCAAAAAGTGCCGGACAAAGTTCATTGGCTTACTAGCTGTTTGAAGTAACCACTTGATTAGTTTGACGACTTTTGCTAGAAAACTGACAGAAATATTTACAAGATTGCTGTTAACTGCATTTTTATGTGTTTTTGACCTTTAACAATTTTGTTTGAAAACGATTTCAAATGATGAGATTGAACAATTCCTAAATTCCCTAATATATTTCTTTCAAAATTTCTAGTAATTCTAGAACTTCATAAAACACTATATATGTGCTATATGCCCTCATCTGGCAATAGGAATCGCGCCTCTTCACATATCTACACCCATTGGAGGGCATGCGACTCGATAAAGCGAACTATTCATTACCACAATTGTGCCAGTCGTTTGCGAAAATGAATTCGCTGTGGCCTGACGATCTTTACTATGATACGCTATTTCAACCCGATAAGCTTTATACAACAGATAAAATCGAGTATTCTTTAGTTTACGCATTTTTGATAATAAACGTTTTATTTTAGTCCACTGTGATCGATAATTGGACGTATTACCAGCACCCTAGCATACGCTAGAAGGAAAAAGTGATCGGAGAGCGTTCGTATGAAAAGTCCCCCCCCCTCACCTAGGCGTAGTGGATCTTACTCACGTGGATGGAGAGGTGCCATGTAGGTGTGAGGTAGGTGCGGAGGCTAGGTGCGAAGTCCCCGATCGTATGAAAAGTCCCCCCCCCCCCCCCCCGAGCGCGTCAACTCCGCGGATTACCACCGAAACAAGTCAAGCTAAGCTCAAACACTATTGTAGAATGTTCGAGGTATGTGGTAGCGAATTACATGAATCTTGGATGAAAAAGCGTCTTCGATGATGAAGTTAATGGGGTCAGGCGCAACCCCTCAAAAGGTCAGGCCGCCTGAGCTTTTGTAGCCTTGCGCCTGAGCCGCTCAACTTGTCTTCAAAATTCAGAAATCAATCCATTCCTGGTATGAGTATTGAGCTGATAGCCTCTTCTTACCTCAGTAAAAATTTGGAGCAAAACACTCCATCCTGGGGAAACTCTGACTCGTTCAGTAGGGCGATTCACATCAAAATCCGCCGTCAAATTTCGTTTACTTGTAATGTGCAATCACAGAAAAGCAATCATACAGTGTCCTAAAATTCAAAAACTCTGCAGGGCAGACTCGTCATCCGGAGGTGGAGAGGATTCAGAGGGGGTCGTTTGGGGACTTCGCTTGAAGGGGGGGGGGTCGTTTCAGAACGAATTGTGCCTGACCTTTTGCTCAACTCTGGTTATCACTTGCGCTTCTTCGAAATGAGCATGAGCAGGGAAAAACGCAAGAAAAACAATGTCTAAGCCTGGACAACCTATCCTTAACGTGTATAATTGCACACATTGGTGAGGAAATCTACGCTACTGTATGCGATACCTCAAAGCGATGTTACATGTAATAGTGGACTTAGCTAATTCAACAATGGATTGAAAGGTGAAGGCGTTCAATGCAGAGAGCGAAAAACTTGTGCTTACGGCTTCTTTCAAAAATCCCCAGCAAATTGAAAGGGTAGAGTTGGTATGAGACATCGAAAATTTGTAACTGGCAATGAGATGAAATGAAGTTGATGAACAGTGAAAAATTAGATTTTTCGAATTGTAGGAATATAAGTTGATCTATCTCTAACCATATGGAACAATTTTCGGCTACCGGTGCACAATCTAATCAGATTATTAGAATTTCGATACTGTGCTTCGTATCCCTCACATGTAGAACACATCATTCACTCTACGGCAGATTCCTCCAACTTCCCACTTGCCACATGCTCGCACGGCTCGAACTATTAATCACGCACATACCTGCAGCAAAAATCTCTTGAAACTCTAGCTAGCTTGCAGCCATGGATTCTTATTCTCTTGCATTCCCCTTTCCAATATGATGTACAGCTTTATTTCTTCTATTATCGGGATGTCCCTCGCATATCTGGAGAAGTTACTTCAACGCCACCAGTGCTGTAACCTCATATTTTGGAATGAATTCTCATATGGCGAATTCACATGTTCGAAAATTATGAAATAAAAAATGTCCTAAATTTTTGGCCATTCTACCTTCCACTGAGTTGAAAGATATTAATAGAGATACCAGAATCAATTGCAAAAAAGAAATTTGGCTACTGATGTTTGCATTTAGAATAATGGAACGAGGGAAGGTGATAGTTACTCTGTGACCGTCATTTGATGTGATGTATGGATAGGCGCACAATGAAATGCTGATTTTGAAATTTGTATTTTGTATTCATGGAAACGACTTCTTAAACAGAATCAGAACCGTTCTAACAACAATTAACTTTGCTGTTGCTAAAACCAGAATAAGAAGCACGAGAATTTCCTGCTCTTTCATCTATTATGCATTAATTAGTACAAACATAGGGTCATCGAAGTAATACCCATTTTAGAGTTCAATTCCAAGTTACCATGATTTTTTTCCAGAAATAATTCCTGTGAATGTTACAAATTGTGCTACAATTAATATACCACTGACACTTTTACACATATCAAAACATCATCTGAGCTACAACAAGAACGATTCTCTGACCAAATCAAAAAACATTTTTATTGGGACCCCTACTTTGAGGAAGCATGATTTAATGGTATTATAGGATAGCAAATACTATCAAACTGACTGAACTTTCCACAAACAATTTCTGCAAAGAATTCAAAAATAACTACCAACGTACCAGGGTCAAAAATACCCACATTTCTCTGAAATGGCAATAGTGCACTTTTGAAATCTTTTGTTCTTTGGGGCGAAAATTGGAAAAATGTTTTCGGGCGAGACATATGGTCTACAACGAAATATAATCTTTATGCTCAAATAGCATGAGTTCAAAAATTTTTATCTTATATATCAAAAAGCATGAGTTCAAAAATTTTTATTCTTATATATAAAGCTGAATGTCTGTTTGTATCCCTGTCTGTATGTCTGTCTGTCTGTGTGTGTACGTATGTTCCGAATAGAAAATTCCATTTCTGAACCTATCCGGACCAAACTTGGCACACATACACTTCGGGCTCCGGCGGGTGTCATAGGCTACTTCTCGTCATCGATCGATATCGATTTTATCGATTTTTATCGATTTTTTGCCGAGTTCACCTACGGGGCTGGGAGTTGGCACAGGGGGGTAATCGAGCATGCTGATTACGAATACAATATTAGTTTATAAAATTATCGATTACTTTTATCGATTTTATCGATTTTCTGCAAGGTTTGGGCTACAAGGCTGGGAGTTGGCACAAGGGGGTAATCGAGCATGCTGGTTTCGAAAACAACACAGGGAACGGGAGATGAGGTGTAGAAGTGGACACAGGGAAAGGCTGTACAGGGATAGGGATGGACCTTATTACAGTGTTTTGACAGGACCGAGCAGAGCCGGGTAAGCAAGCTAGTAAATTATATTTCCATGAGCACTTTGTAGCAAAATCTCCAGCAAAATTCTACATGTTCAAAACAAAAACCGTCTCGTGCTGTATAAGGAAATAGAGCAAAAAGGAAAAACTTTTAATTCGCTTTGTTGTCGTCAAAGACAGTGGTTCGGGAAATTTGCAATTGCGAGCTTTCTATCCCTCTTGGCCTTCTGGGTACGCTGAGTCTAAAGCTGTGCTTAAAAAAGTAAAAAAATGCATTTCGTGGTGTTTTCCGGTCTTGAAAATTGCTGGAGGGGATAGGCGAGCTATTATCAACTGAGTCGCGATTGACGCCTGAAACGACCAGCCAGTTGCCGCCAAAATGGGTGGAGTTATAGTCTCCTGCAGTCAGTCGCTGTTTTCGGCGGGAATCAGCCCCTCAGCGATATCCATGGCTGGAAAACGCCAGAAAGCATTTTTTTGACTTTCTAAGCATAGCCCTGGACTAAGCGGATCCAGAGCTTATAATACACAATTTTTCCTCTATAACTGACTCACAGCTGTGACTCAAGCATGAAATAGCCAAGTGTACAGACATATCCTTTATGAGTTTCTCCATAATGAGATTAAAACACTTTTGCACAGTTTGCAGAAGCAAAGTGTGGTGTTGTGAACATCGATTATTACATATCTTCTCGACGGCTGATTGTTATGCGCTTCTGCGTCTCCGTTTTCTGCAGGTCAATCATCTGCACGATTTGAAAAGATGTGTTGTTTGTCAGCAAAATCGTACCGATGATCAACTAACGCCTCATAAACTATGCGCGCCTTCTTAACAAGTCAGCGATTTCTCCCGTCTTGAGTTAAGAGCGCTTCCTCTTGTGTCTTGCCTCCGACAAAAGAGCCTATTATTCGTCTAAGGACTTCTTTCGCGACTCTTTTGGCATGCACTTCAGTTACTTTCCATTCAAAGGCTCATCCTCTCGGCCTTGAGCACATTTTCATTGTTGAAGCATTCAATGCGAAGGCGTCTAATGCTCTAAGCCTCTAACTCTCTTATTTGTCACTCATTCGCGATAGAATTTGTATCTCACAAAAACGACAACAATCGCTCATATGGCAGAACCGCAACTGATTTCGCATACTACTTTCCGCTCCTCTGCTTCGAGCCATTGTGCTCATTAATTCAAATCACTTAATTCCTTTTCTTGCTTTCAGCATAAGCATACATGCATTTGTTATTGGTCCTTGCCACAATCGTGGGCCTGGGAATGGCCTTTCAGGTACGAGCTTAGACCTCCCATTTCAATTCTCACGGGACTTCCCAATGTACAGTTGCGTCAGATAAAGGGATTTTCTTCAGCTTATTGCCACATAATCAATTTACAAGTTCTCCGAGGATCTTCGTGTGCTTATAAATACAGAAATGCTGAGGCAAGAGGGTCCTGAAAGCTTTAGCAGCTTTGAGAGTCGATGAACATCATATAGTAGAAGAAAATCTCAAAAGTTCGGATTAGGTGATCTTCAGTGGGAAATCGCACTTTATTTTTGAGTTGTTAGAAGTGATATGTGCATTTGAGTGAATTATACGACTAAGCTTTGCACATAGTGTAGATTTCGTCCTCCAACATTTGCATTCCTCATATTATCCGAATGAAATTCCGGTTTTGTGAAGGCTAGGAAAGCTTTTCAGTGCTCTCCGGACACTATTTTGCGCATGGCCACAGACAAAAGGTTGAAGCAGCTGGAAAGGGACTGTCACTTGGCTAAAATTGGAGAAGCCGAGTGCGAGAATAAAAAGAAGGTGGAAACTGCTTGGAAGGACTTCACAAAACTGTCTGATCAGTACAGAAACGTAAGTAGGCAAGAAATGTACAAGTTCCAGCTACTATTTTAATCCTCAGGCCGTCAGGCAGTGTCGAGAAACTGCAGCGAGATCACAAGGAAGTCATCGTAAGTTGATTTACCCTTCTTGGCATTTGGCACATAAAAACTGGTATAACCAGTAGCGGACCAGGGTGCCCCCCCCCCTTCTTTCGAAAACGAATTGCGAATTCTTTGTCAACTGCCTCCATAAATGTAAAATTGCGCAAGTGACATATTTTCGCTTGCAAATAGTTGAATAATTTCTTATAAATTTTCAAAAATTCAAATGTGAAAGAATTATTGTTGCCACAATTGTTGAAAAAATTTCAAGAATTGTGGCAACAGCCACCTTTTTTCCTAATATTTTGGTTTTGTCGCCCCCTCTCCAAAATTCCTCCTCCGCTATTGCTTCAAATTGTTGCAGAATTCAGACATCTAAAACATGTTCCTATCCTCGTCGTCCATTCTAAGCAAGGCTCGATTTTCAGTTTAGATGTCAAAGCTTTTAATCTGACAATGAAGCAAGACTCTTCACACAGATTCTGTGCATCCATCAAACATTGAATCCACCTCTAAGTCTCTTGCCAGGAGCCTATTTATCAACCTCCCGATGTCTGATCGGGTGCTCTTATCGTTATAAATAAACGAACGCCCCCCCCCCCCCAATTGGGCGATGGGCTTTTGACGTAAACTAGCACTCGAGCAGACCTCGGGAGGTTAAATACCGCCCAAGGTGTCTGCACTAATGCCACCAGAGTGTCTGTAAGGCTGCTTTGAATACCATTCTGTCTTCCGAGTACATTTACAGCGGGTTTTCCTTCTTGCTAAGCCAAATGCGAGTCATTACGGCAATTTTCGTGACTGAGGCAAGAGGCAATAAATGCAGTCGCCCTCTCGAATCGCACAAACAATGTTTGTAGACCGATAAAAATGTGCATTGGAAGTGAGGTGATGAAATGACGCAGTTGAGAGTCCTCTCTCATAAGAGAACAATAGGATGCACAAGAAATCTCCGAAAAACTGCTACCAAACACTTCTGAAATGATCCTCCAAATGCGATGTACAAGTAGCCGATCTTTTATCGAATATGAGAGACGCAAGAGCAGTAGGAAGGAGCAGACAACGTGTTGTTGTTGAACGGCCTATTTTTGCGCTCAAAAAACCTCAAGATTCGCGGGATATTTGAAACATCCTAACGCAGTTTACATGAATATGTGGACTTTTAGGACATCATCGGAAACGCCATACATTGCATAGAGAAGTGAAAGAGGCAAGCGTAATTGAGCAGGTGAGGTATTCGTGTTGGAAAACTCAGTAGGCGAGCGTGAGAAGACTATATTAGGTGGGCGAGAATGTTCTTATGTATCTCAATGGAGATTCAATGATTCAAACCCAGAACCTACGTAAATTTTTGTGGTTTTTTATCTAAGAAGAGAAGGTTTACGCTATAGGATAGTATACAGTCGCACATTTTCTTGGTATTCTTGGAGAACAAAGGTCCCCAAAACGGCATTTCAAGTGTCATAATTTTGACTTTAGTCTCAAAACACAATAGCCGCAGGAGCCTCAAAAATCTTCAAGAACTTCTAGTCCATATATTGCTGCAGCAGCTACAATCTTGCATGTTGCAAAAACAAAAAGTTCGTAAATATCATTTTATCTTTTTACTGCATTTTCTTCGCAGAGAATACCGTGACTTTGAATGTCAACCCGCAATATAGATAGCAGTGATTTTTCGTGTAAATTGAGGTTTACCATGAGTTTTTCATCTTTGCATTTTCCGAGATCGTCCTGCTCTAAATAATGTACTACTAACAAGGGAATGGTCAAGAATCGAACTGGCCAATCCAAACAAGCTGCATACCATTAGATGCAGCATAAAACCCGGATGTTGAATCTGTTTGCCTTATATGCTAAACACTTTTGTGGGCGAAGTTATAAGCCATTGAAGGCTATTATTTTGCTAATCGTGCGTGCGAAGTGTAAATTTGGCCGTACAGCGCCGTTTGGTCCAATGCTAGACCGAAACATGCACTTAGGTTACTTTAAATAGTCCATACTTGTGAGCTGAGACGGCGATAACGTGCTTAATTTCGCAGATTTATCTACGATTTTTTCGCAGCAGAACTGCTCATAACTTCGCCTACAGAGGTGTTCAGCAGATACGGAAGACAGATTTGAGGTCAACCTTCTATGCTGCATCGAATGGTATGCAGTGTTAGGGTTGGCCACTTGACCTCTGTTCATTCCCTTGCAATATTTTTCGACAGCTAGCTAGCGGCGTTTTCGAACTTTTAGAACCAAAACCAAAAGCGCGGAATTTGGCTTTGTCTGTGGAAGTTTTGTTCTCCAAAATCACGAGACCTTCGAGTCATTATCGTAAATCGCAACATTACTCTATTTTTGAACTGGAAAACAATAAATTCATGTTCGGGATTTGTAAAATCATTGCAATTCTTCGATTTACACAAAAACTTTCGCGCGAACCAATACATCAAAATTATATCTACCTTTTACACAGTTGAACGGCAATGTGATAGCATAGTCACATGTAAAGCAACTTGGTCTAGGCTTTACCGGAAAGCGAACAATTTGATCGATCCCATCCGATACGAACGAAAAGACAAACGTGCAAGACAAAAGCATCTGAAGATCTGAACCACTTGAGACAGGACTTCATTACGCATTGCGATCGAGAAAACATGTGAGTGGCTTACTGGCTGCGACTAACAGATAAGGACTTTCAAGAGCCACCAATACTAACCACCCAGGAACGCAAAATTCATTTACTAACTGTTTCAGATGTTTACCCGATGAGGATCTGCCTGCTGGACCGCAGCGTGATCGCTTCAAGGAGCTTCACTCTTCAAGAGCCAAAAAATATTCAGCGTATTTGACACAACTTTCTCTGTGTTACGGTCGGCTTACTTAATCTGAGCAAAAATTTTTATTTGTCTGCAGGCGGTATGTCGCTTTACAATTTCCTATGATATGTTTTATTGTTAGCTTTATTAGTGTTGTTCAGATATGACAATAAATAATGAGTTTTATTGTTAGTTATCTTGGCTGCTGTTCATTTGGCATCAAATATGACCAACGGTGAAATATTTATGAAGTATTCATATCGTCCTTTCCAGCTATTTGCCGATTACAATGGACACAAAAAAGAAGCATTCTTTCCACCCCTTCAGCTTTCCTTCTACTGATCCTTATGCGGTAATTCTTTCATATAATGGCACAGGAAAATATACTTCGCAAATAAAGGGATATTATGTGGACTGAAGAGGAAGGCAGGGAAGTGGAGGATTAGCAAGAGGAAAATAAGATGGCTTACTTAGTTCTGAGAAATATAGTAAGAAACTAGTGTTTTGTCCGTCAAATGAAGGGATAGAAACACATGGAAACGAGGCTTTATGCGAAAATAGGGAAATTTCAGAAGTTCGTTCTATGGATAGAGAGGCAATAAATCCCACTGCGAAACTTAGAGACAGTTAATAGTAAGTAATAAACATTTGAAGTAATCACCGACATATTTCAAGCTGCGACGAATACAGCCGAGAATAACTACTAAAGAAGTCGCCAAAATTGATAAATACTTCTAACTTCTTTTAATATAGGCTGCGATTTTGCTGCTGAATGTCATGTTGGGCCAGTAGCGAAATAAAGACAATCGGCATTTCCGCTTGAAAGAGGGCGTTTACAATAGCCACCAAAAATTATACAGCTGTGTGCTAGCCTCAAAAAAACCTGCATAGCAGATTTGTAAACATATGGAGAAACGTGGATGGTAAGAGCGTCGCGGGAACGGAACTTAGGAACCGAGCCTAATTAGTCCGACTCGGGGAATGCCTGCAGGATACAGTCATGCTCGCTATGTCCGATTGTTCCCTAGGACATGGCGACAATCTAAGCACCGCCCCTTGAGAGCCTGTTTTGGAACCTGGCCAAGGAATGCTGAAAATCCCAACTGAATTTCAGATCACTGAAACTGGCTCTTAGCCACTACCCATGCTTCTCAGCGCTGCGAGCTGCAACTCTTGGTGCACAAAACAAGTGATCTCCATAAATTCGTATTGTGGCTAGTCTGTAATAAGCTCTCCAGTTGTGCTTTATTGTTACCTGTTTCAACTTCGCGTGATGAAGACTTGCGCGTCTACAAAGCTTGAGAACCGGAGTCGCTCATGTTCATTCTTACCCAGGAATACATCAAATCGTAATCGTGGTTATCTCGTACATTTGCGTCGTGAGTCGATAACCAAATGAGCTTATGAGGTGGATGTTCCCTAGTGTATAAAAAAGAAGGTGGAAGCAACTGTTTGTATACAGGGTGCGGCAAAAGTCTGGGAGCCTAACTTTGCAGTACTGCAACAAAGATACTGATGGTTTTGATTTCAATTTTATGCTACATGATGCTGCGGTCATCCTCTACAAAATACACTTTATTTGGCTGGAAATGGCCGCCATATCTTATATATAAAGCTGAATGTCTGTCTGTATGTATGTCTGTATGTCTGTCTGTACGTATGTGCGGAATAGAAATTTTTATTTCTGAACCGATCGGGACCAAACTTGGCACACATATACTTCGGGGCAGGGAGCGTGTCATAACTTTTGCAAAGCGAAAAAACCAGAATTTTTGGTATTTACAATTTTTGCTGTAACTAGAGATGCTGTTGATATTTTACAAAACTTCGATGCACACAACATGGAAAAGGCTTTGCGCTATTGTATCCTAGCTTTGCTTTTGCCAGGAGCTGTTCTTGCATGAACGGGAAATAAAAGTTTGCGAATGTTACCTACGTGCCAGTGGAAATCTGTCTTCAGAACAAATTTAAAAGCTGTAGAATGCTCAACAAGCACTGGGACCAAGGCTGTATTTCCTGCATACGTCTTCTAAATTAGAATCTATGAAAATTCGACCATGGGAACACTTTTTATACTTTTTAAACGATATGTTTAAGTTTTTACTCGCGCAATTGTAGCCAAAATTCCGGTATGCGACGTACACATGCTTCTAATTGAAAATCCAACATTTTTATTCCTAAGCGATGCAAAAAATTCTTTTGGAAGATTGTTGTAGACTAAAGTTTGCTCTATCACGCGCGCATTTGCCAAGGTAAAAGAAGCAGTTATTGTGAAGGCCTGGGGCGAATTTCATTATGAATACCTGCGTGCCATGACAAGTGGACTTGCCAAGATTTTGTAGGGCTACGTGGAAGCCAAAAGAGGCACTTTTGCAATTCAAGAACTGGGCTGTATCTGCAATTGTTCGAATTATGTGTGCACCAAATTTTTCGTTTCTGGGTACTTCCCTTATCGTTTTGTACGAAAAAGTACTAGGCTCCCAGACTTTTGCCGCACCCTGTAATTGCCTGGCCGATATCTATGCTCAGCGTGTGCGTGAGAGAGAGGAGAGCATGTCAGACAAAAATTTGGAACAATTATTCTGCACTTAATTTCACGCGTATAAAGCGCATCTTTTTTCGGTTTTTCAAGCATGCCGCTCAGCCGCTTCGCTGTGTTTCGGAAAACGATATGCTGCACGATACTCTCAGGCAATATGCAGCACTGTAAATAGTTGTTTGGTCGCAAAGTCCTTCAGCGTGTCTGTGCTGTTCGATTTCAAAAGAATTCTCGCGTCCTACAAGCGTGAAATTAGGGTAATTTTACACAAAGAAATGTCAATTATTTCAAGAAATGAGTTTCGAACCAGAATAATTTGCACAAATCTCAACGTATTAGGTTGCTGCATAAGTTCTATCCGATTTGAATTTTTTGAGTTCAAAATGTCATAACTTCTTTCAAAATCAACCCTATTCCAAGATCTTAGTTTCTATGTTTTGAGCAGTTTCTTGGCTATCGGAGACCTATTGAGACTTGCAAAAATCCTGTTAAGGAAAAAGCAACAACTCAAAAACTTCACAGCGTTTTTCTTTGAACCTCTCTTTTTTGACATGGCAATGCTCCCTTATGAGAATTGATAGTCATCTTATCTAATAATGGATAGATAGAGAAATTTTCGTAGATTATTTTGCAACATAAAGGAGCCCATAGGGTTTGCGTTGCTGAGAGATTTTTTTGACCGAGTAAAAAGGGAGCTACAACATGCCTATTTACGAATTATGAAAATTTTACAATGGACGTGAGGGCAGAAAAAGAATTGGCGGATGGGATCTTCTAGCTCTTGCTTTACACTAGCATCTCCAACTTTAAACTCATCGATTACTTCTATTCGCAGGAAGTTATTGCTTGTAAAACATTTGTACAAAAATTAATGTTCGACAATAGGTTTTACTAGCAAGACGTTTTCTTCGTGAATTTGAGCTTGTGCATTTACTAGCCTGTAACACCCTTATTACGCGCTCATTGTGGAGATTTCCTTGCGAGAACATATCTCTAGGGCGGGAACATACCTCGGCCACTTGGAGATTTTAGATCTGAAATCTCCTTACATTCAGAAATTTATTGTAATTTGATACGCGTTAGAAAAAGCAAGAAAAGCACTTTCTAATGATACCAACATTATCGTATTAGAGATGAAATACTGTTAGAACAGCTGCTTTGAACATAAGGCAAAAAAATTCGGACAGAACTTACGCAGCAACCTAATATAATGTTGAGCTTACGCAAAAAGATATCAGTCTATTTGATGTTCGAAAAGGTGTAATGCAAGACAGCCCAGTGACGATGGAGCGCCATCTACCGCCTGTCACCGATAAAATGAGAAAGACTCAACCGAAATGAACTTAAAAATTCGTCAAAGCAATACAGATTAGTCAACTAGATACTATAATAGATTTGCATGTTCCATTGCTTAACCTTGAGTTAATGTCTATCGCAACATGCTAGTACTGGGTTGGAGCATAAGTACAAAAGTGCGATTTTCACTCATTCTTAACATAGAAATTGTTCCGATTATAAATAAAGGCTAATATATACAAACTTCCTAAATCTTCCAACACTTGATCGTTAGAAACGCTGGATGTCCTAGCAAACTATAATTTCAGAAATGTTGCAATCTATGACCTCCTCTTTTTTACTGTGATGAGCCTGCTAACTGGATCTCTCTATGAAATTGTGATTTTTGATCTTTTCGAATTTTGATTTGATTTTGTCAAAATCTTATCTTATATATAAAGCTGAATGTCTGTTTGTCTGTCTGTCTGTCTGTATGTCTGTCTGTCTGTATGTCTGTCTGTCTGTACGTATGTTCCGAATAGAAAATTCCATTTCTGAACCGATCGGGACCAAACTTAGCACACATACACTTCGGGCCCCGGCGGGTGTCATAGGCTACTTTTCGTCATCGATCGATATCGATTTTATCGACTTTTTGCAAAATTTGAGCTACGGGGCTGGGAGTTGGCACAGGGGGTAATCGAGCATGCTTCACCCCCGTGGGGGTGATCAGCATGCTCGATTACACCCCTCTGCTAAATTCCAGCCCCTAGCTCAAATTTTGCAAAAAATCGATAAAATCGACATCGATCGATAACGAAAAGTGGACTGTGACACCCGCCGGGGCCCGAAGTGTATGTGTGCCAAGTTTGGTCCGAATCGGTTAAGAAATGGAGTTTTGGAACATACGGCAGAGCCGGGTAAGCCAGCTAGTTTCTAATATGCATGATAAAACACCACATATACAGGGTGTCAAAAGTATGTAACTGTTCGATCGTTAATATCTTTTTTCCCAAGAAGTCTTTTGCCTACCTTCAGGTCTTATTTTGTAGAGCTAGCTTCAAGCTTAGATTTACGGTACGGAGCGAATTACCGTCCTCTCTTCACTACTGTAGATTACGGCAGGTTGAAGAGGGTTTTGAGTCATTGAGGTTCATGTTTTATCCTAAAAAAGACTAAAGAAGCTAAAATGTTTACACTAGGTTAATCAGGTTCGCTGATTCCAAATATGGAACTCTCACTTCACATACTTCACAGTTCTTTCATAATCTATGCCAGATACACCACAGTGACCTATTACTGCTATTCGTCAAACTGATTAGGCCGTTCAAAAAGCTATGCGAACATCCAAGTTATGTAATGAAATCAGCATGCATAGGAACCCTCTTTCACAAATTTTCAGATTTTTTTGATTGGTAATTCGCTCCATACTGTAAATCTAATAGTAAATTGAAGCCAGTTCTACAAAGTGAAACCCGAACCTTCTCGAAAAATTACATGACAAGAGGTTACTGACAATCAAACAGTAGGCACATTTTTTCGGGTCACACTGTAGATTTATCGTCAAATATAGACTACTGTTTTGAGAGCGGTAGGAATACACTCTTTGCAAAAGTCGCATGAAATTTGAGTTCAGATCAGTACGTTGTCCTAGATTCTTGCCCACAAGTAGACAATAATCAAAGAAAGCAGCAGGCCTATCAAAACATATTGTCATCCAAGTTTTGCTCAATAAAAAATTGCCGCTAATCCTGAGCAAATCCTCTTCAAAATATCTGAGATTACACCAACAAGTGCACAATGACACTCAAATTCAGCTGCTCATTTTCCCTCATTCTAACACATACGTAAACTGTAGCAAATGTAATAATTCTTTCATGGTATGCCGTTATACTTTGGGTGGACTGTAGATTCTCAGGTGGCAATTCTCAACTTCAACACTTTTCTAGGCAGCATTTCACTTGCGAATCCAAGGTGAAACATGGAAAACCACACGGAGTCATCAGCGAAATTTGAATGTGGAGACTCACATCCAAAAACTTACGGCAGTGAATCTACCCTCTCCTATAGTCAAATCTTTTATAAAAATGGGCACGACAACGTTTACACGTTTATTCCTAACATTCTACAAAGTTTTATAACAGCGCTCCTGACATATGGTAGAAGTATGAACAAACTCTGAGCAACTTATAAAACAAGTACAGATTGAGAATACCTGTAAAAGAACTTGACTGAAGCAAATATATTAGCTTTCTGTACAGGTGTAAAATTGGCGTACATATATATCATCTCCAACAAAAAAAAACTATCAAACGGCAGTATGAGGAGGTGCACTTTGCACTCATATACTCAACAGATACATTGACTTCCGAGGGTTTCAAGAATCGACGCGAGCAAATCGCACACCGCCATTTAAATCTAGCGTTGCTGCAAGATTATTGCACGCACTTCAGCGCAAAAATTCGATCGCACCTCTTCAGCTGAACTGTCTATATCGGAGGTGACGGGCAGTAAATGAGCTTGGCCGGTAAACATGGAATGCTTCTACGCGACGATCATAACTTTGATGCACAGGACAGGCCCTTTGCAGGTGAAAAGCGAAGATGTTCAGACATCTTCCTTTTTTCGATGCTAGAAATAGTAGCAGCAACGCTTTCAGTTGCACTCTTTGCTTGCAAAAGAAAGTGAGATTTTCAATAAAAAGTCAACTATGTATCACGGGTAAAGAACCAAAAGCGGATTTGTAAAAACAAGGCAGAGAGGGAGAGGTACATTATTATTGTAAGACTTAGAGATGCAGTGAAAAGTTATGAGAGACTTGAACAAAAAAATTGAGAAATGGCTGTACAGATAAGAAATCATGATACCATCACCAGCGAACAGCAGCGCATCCATTGCTTACAGCTGATGCAGCATATATATGACGACTTCATATGTGCCCATAGTGATTGCAGTATTTGGCACTGTACGCATCAGCTGCAAACGGAAAGAATGCACTAACAACGAGTCTCAAAGAGGGCAGCATCATACAATGGCAAGAAATGGTTATAGAAGACATGAACACCCGAGGATGTCATACCCTTACCTGCACAGATAAACCACGGTACATGGCACGCCCACCTTCTTGGTACAGATCATATAACGTGCGAAAGAATCCTCGTTTCAAAGAAGACTCCTCACGAAGTCTGGTCCGAACGACTTCTGAAGTGAAATGTTCAATTCTTTCTTTCAAACGTTTCCCAAAAGTATCAGACCGTGCGGATATGCGATGACGCATGCGATAAATTTAGCACATCCTCCGGCGACCATGAAATTCAAGAAGTCCTAAAAGATGTCACTTGAAATGCGAAAGAAGTTAGCTAAGAAAGCATGAACGAAGAAAATTGACGAAATTCTATTACCATCTTTCCTTTGTCATCTTCATCATCATGGTGTCGGAGAAGATAACCACGCAAATGTTCATATATAACAAATTGTATCATCGTCTCTGATACACCCGCATATGAAGCAGTGACACCCTTAATAAGAACATGCATCTCCGTATTATTACGGCGAAATCCACATTTTACCTTATAAAATCCACGTATTCCCTCTCTTCTATATACTCTGCGGATCATTTGCATTATGCCACATTTCCCGTGATATAATTGTAACCTTGTCTTGACCAACCAAATAGGATTGACAACAGATGCAGCTACGAAACCTACAAGGCTATTGATATAGAACAGTTGGGTAAGATGATAAAAGAAATGTGTGAAGGTTCAGACGGCTTGTTTACTATCGATGAAAGTAAGTGTTCATGTTCTGGAAGGGAAAACAGTGCTGCTGAGGCAACAAAAATCAATCACGCCCATACTTTTGGAGAATTTTCTCAGTTTTGTCATAATCTTTTAGAAACCTAGGAGCGAAATTTCTCAAAGCGTGACGTATGCATGGATCAACACTTATAACTCACAATTCACTTCATTCGACCAACATGTTTGCATATTTTTTCGGTCAAAATTTCGAAGCGTGAAGATTTTGTGTAATTTATGCATGTTCTTTAATACATGCAAGGATTGTACCCAATATAGCTAGCGGACACACCCAAAAACCTTTTCCAAACAACTTTTTTTTGACATAGCAGACCAAGACAAAGCTGAGAAGCATAAAGCCTTGCTGAAAAACACGTGCAAAAAGACTACTAGGAAAGAACACGTGAAGTCCACGTGACTTACACAGCAGCTTGCTTGCAAAGTCACCCTCTATTCACTATCAACTGAGTAGCGGCTGTGGATGTTTGCTGATAAAACTGCTTGGTGATTTGTGTAAATCAATGCAGCGCTCAATCAAAAGGATTACAAGTTAAAATCTGAGATAATGTGAGGTAGCAAATCCGCTCAAAACAATGGGATTACCTGCTGAACCAGCGCTCACCATGTGTACAATTGCACTGTTTGGCACGAATATTTCAGACTCATTCCATAAACGCTTGCTGCTCGAGTACGAGTAGAAGTACACAGCTCTAAACATGGGTCAATAATAAATACCGACATTGATTCCTCTCAAGCTTACTTCGAAGGAGCAACGCCAACAAGATTTGGAATTAATCCTTTGTAGAGAGCTCCAAATCCTTCATTCTTGATAATGTGCCTGAATACATAATTCGGCGAACACAGTATGCAAACATAACTTGGAGTTCAAAGCAGATACTAGTTACACTGAGTTAGCCAATGCAGAAATGCAGCATGTTGAGTAGTTATATTCGCAAGGTATGATACGACATGAACATCAAGCATTTTTTAACTATTGGTTATTAGAGTTATAGGATTTCGGTAAAAGACTCGTCCATGTAAGAAAAACGAAATTTTGAGCAAACTGTTCATGACTGCAAAGTTAGCTAGTATTGACGTTGAAAAAAGTTGAACATCAACAACATTGACGGAGAATTGAAACAACTAGGGGATGGCTAATGACTGCAGCATGGCAAAGTTTACCAAAGCGAGAACTCACGAGAAATGCCGCAAGATACTGAGCCGCAACCGTGGACCAGTAGACTTCTGAGCTTGAGATTGAACAAACCGCGAGACATCAAAAGACATTCCACTGCGGCCCACATCGCCTGTAAAAGCTAGTAATACCTAAAATGTGGTTTGAAACTGGCAGACTCACTCAGTGGAGGTGAACGTCCCATGTAGCCGGATCTGCGCTTGCAATCTGTAATAGCACATCTTTCGAAAAACGAATAAGAAATAAACGGGAAAATAAGCCTTATCAACAATACCATGAAAAGTGAAGCTCACCCATTAACTGCTTGTAATTAGAAGAGAGAGGCCCTTTTGAAAGTGCTGTTTTCCGAGGTTCCGAAGGCTTGACGGCTCCATGGCCACCTTAAAATCACCAACTGGTGGTCTTGAAATAAGACCAGTAGTCATCTCCACGATAAAAAAAAACAACGGTTATGATCTTGGCGATGAATTGGTAGATCACGATAAAAAAACTGGACATTTGATAGCCGTCATCCCCAAAAGCATCGAAATCACTATTTGTGGATAAAGAAAGGCAGATGTATACGAAATGCAAAAACAAAGTTGGAATAAATATTGATGTATAATTTTGTTAGAAAAACATCAAGAAAGCAAGAATACCGAACGAAAACCCTGAAGGACAAAGGTATTTCGCTAGGAACTGACATCAGAAGAACAGTGCACAGAGAACAAACTATTCGTCATTGAAAAACTCAAACCCACCAGCTTGACTTGTGCTCGGCCCAACGGGACTGATACCCTGCCTAGACTGCATCCTAGTCTTCACAACTTCTAATGGACATGTTAGACAAGTACCTAAAGATCAAGCTTGATTAAAGCATATTGTGATTGCTGTTTAGTTCGCGATCGTTTGACAAATCTATGAACCAAATGAAAAAAGCATTGTACCTGCGGTCCCTCCTACAGCACCACCAATGAAATGGATGACTGCCTCACGGTCCATGCGTATGACTGAAAACAACCAACATGAGCAATCGTTTTGCAATGTGGAACCATTATTCGGGAAGAAGTCCGCGTCGAATTATTTAGCGCAAGACTTCTCAAACCAAGTGCATGGAAAACGTTGTAGTAACTGTGCATACTTTTGACTGGCACAGAAGAAGCCAAACAGCGATCAAAATGAATTACAGCACTTTAGCACTTCACTGTCATGCGGAATGGGAAAAAACTCTTTAATCACTTCTTGATTCGATGATATGCTACGTAAACAAGCAACAAGGCATCAAATTGCTAGCGTTTTTCAGAAATTTTCTCTGTCGTCGATTAGCAGATAATTCGGGTAGTGCACAACGATGACAGAAGCCCGCTATGAAAAAAGTACTCGACAAAGATAGATTGCATTTGCAGCGCTGATTCGCTGACTGACACCCGTGCAGCGCCTTATCATGTGACATATCGGACTCGATCACCATCACAAAACCTGAACATTGCTGATTTCCCAAGCTCTCGCACTCCCAAGCATGTGAACATCACCAGACTAGTAGGAAGACACTGTCTGAGAAAAATGAAGAGGAATTCTTTAGCCATAGGACAGAAGTCATCCTTGGTCCGCAACCTGCACATTTCTCAAAGACGTTCTTCAACAAATCGCGAACATTACAATGCTACGTCTGACGATAGGGAATGCGTATAGACGCACGAATATGATGGCACGCTAGAAGATTGATAAGAAGTGCGTGCCGCAAGTAGCCACAGTTTCATCACTCACATTGTGTTCAGATAAGAAGGCTTTCCACTAATCCTGTACGTGACAAGTATTCGAAGCCTAAATTTAGTGCGAACAGATGAACTGAGTAACGTTAGGCCCCGGGTATTCTTTACGTCGCGATTCTCCTAACAAAATGACTGTTACGGATCCATTGCACGCCCATCATCTTACATTTCGCCTGTGATAGTTTTGCGAGGCAACTAATCGCGGCTAACCATCACAACCGAAAAGCAAGATGACCGGCATGCAATGGATTCGTAAGACTCCCGTTGGGAAATCGCATGATATGTGCTGGTGTATGCTTGGTGGGATGGTCGCGCGAATCGTACTACACCCATGCCCAGCCCTTGAAGGCAGCAGCTCGCCAAAACCGAACATCCCGAAATTTTGACATGGAAGGTTGCTTGCACCCCACATGAGAACAGAGCAGGTCCGAGCGCACAGCATGCTGACCTTGCCTAGAAAACTGCCCCTAAACCGTTACGCGCAAGCCATCCTAATACGCACGGACGAGCATGCGATTCTCGTTGACCCATCAGGGAAGGCGTGCCGCAATGTTATAAGCGAGGGCCCGCAACGATTCTTCTTTATAACCATAGACCATAGCGGGAACCGTTCCAGTCGTTCAAAAATCAAAATCATTTTTTTGCCATTTTCGAGCTCTTTGAAGTAGATTTTCGGAGTCAGTGTCTCGAATTACCCCAGGTAAGCAAAAAACTTCAAGTCGAGAATCTACCGGGCCGCTGCATTCAAAGGCAGTGGCTCGGGAAATTTGCAACTGCGCGCTTTCTGTTCCTCCTTGGTCATCTGGACGCCTTTAGACCAGAGCTGCGCTTGAAAAGTCAAAAAAGTGCTTTTTGTGGTGTTTTTCGGCCGTGGAGATTGCTGAGGAGGCTGGAAGGGAGATTCCCGCTAAAAACAGTGACTGGCTGCAGGAGACTGTAACACCACTCATTTTGGCGGATCGCCTGATTGGCCCGGCAGCCCATCGCGACTTAGCTGCGGGAATCTACGCTCCAGCCTTCTCAGCAATCTTCAGGCCGGAAAACGCCATAAAAAGCACTTTTTGACTTTTCAAGCACAGCTCTTCTACGCATCCATAAGGATAAGGAGGAACAGAAAGCGCGCAGTTGAAATTCTAAATGCAATCGCACACTTTTCATCCCTCCTTGGCCTTTTAGATGCGCTCAGTCTAAGGTTGTGCTTGGAAATCAAAGAAGTGCTTCATGGCGTTTCCCGGCCTTGGAGATTGTTGGAGGGGATGGGAGAGCGATCGCCAACGGAGACGCGATGGCTGCTGAGCCTGTGCTAATAACATTACTGCTATACAAATCTTCAAAACGCTTCTTCGAAGGCAGTTACAGGCCCGTGATTCTATAGCTTCTGCCCTTTCAAAAGTCGAATTAAATGGCTGTAATGATGCATCATTGATATATGCTCTAATAGTACAGTTGGGAGAACAGTTACTCAGACAATAACTCGGACGACCGGCGGGCCTTCACAGCTTGCCGGGGGGGGGGGGGGAGGAGGAGGGTGCAGCTACCCTCAAATTATGGGCGTGGCTTTGTTTCGGATGAGGGCGTGCCTAGCTACTGAGCCTGCGGACTGAGCGGCGCACCATCATTATCATACTCTTGATCTCACATCATTTTGAATTTCTCTTACTATGTGTTATTCACTTGCCAATGCTGATTCCATGATTTGATAGCTAAAATACTTATAAATTAGCCTTTGCCATCACGATGGGCATGGACGGATTGCGAGAGGCATGATCGCTCGCCCGATAGAGGCATTGCGCTCGTCCGAATTATTGTATGAGTAGTTGTCAGCCGTAAAATGCCGGACTGAACTTCTTGAACATCACTTTTGCGTTTTTTTTTTGCAAAATTTCGCGATATTATTTAAAATCGTCTCAAAAAGCAAATATCAATAGTTTTCGTTGAAATCTTTTGAATTACCGAATTTGGAATAATTAATATCTAGATAACTATCATCATCTTTGCTGCAATAATCATGACTTATAATAAAGCGCTAAACGCCTCTTTTTGTGCGTGTGTTTGTGTGTTTGTCTGTCTGTCACGAATTTCATAGAGGCAGCTGCAGCCAAGCTATCGAGCTACAATTTTGCATAGCATACCGTACCAGCATGTAGGCCCACCATGCACAAGGACGAGCCGTTCGATAAGCGGGTTCTGCAAAAATTGCGCCTCAAACGGGTCCACCTTGCTTTCGGCGTGCAAAACTAGGTCACAAATTCAACTTTTTGCAAAGTCCTGATTTGCCTGACAAGGAAATCTGCGCTCCAAGAATTCTAGCTCAAAAAGTGCTCAAAAAGTTTGCTTTTCCGCGAAAACAGCGCCAAAAAGTAGTGATCGCGTAGAGAGTCGATTTGACAAGGCTTTACCTAAATATCTGAAAAGATTTTTGCATGGAAATGTAGCCCAAAATGACTATTATCTTTATAACAATTACCAAGCCAAAATAAATTCAATAAACTGTTCGAATACATATTTATTCCTTGGCAAAAAAGTTTTGTTTCTCAAAATTACCGACCTTACATGGAGATGCTTCAAGAATGAATAGTTGTTTACAATTCATTTGTGATGTTCATCATCACGCGGTGAGTTTCAAAGTCATCATTTTGGGAGCATGAATAAGGCTACGGATAACAGAGCCAGTGCAAACCTCCGCAAAGCGGAGGTGACGCACTGGTGTCAACTAAATGAGTAGTTTGCTGGTAAAAGGTGGAAATATTAGGTCGGCCCGAAAGTTTGCGCTGTTTTTCAGACCTTTCCTGTACTTCACAACACAGGGTATATATCATTTGGTCTCTGACTAAGAGACACAAGCACGCTTTGCGTACGTTTGATTAACTAGTTCTTGAGTGAGTTTCAACTAGGTTCTTGTAAGAACATGTTCCAGCTTGAATATCGCGACTTCGAACATATTCTTTTAAGAATTCCTATTAATAACTTAGGAAAACGCGTTAGCGCGCTTATGAAAATGTTAATCAAACTTAGGCAACGCGTCCTCGTGTCTCTCAGTCAGAGAATGGATGATAATGATTGCTCTCAATCGCATCGCCTTAATTACAGCTCTCACTCATCATGAAATGGAAACGAGTTCTATCGCTAGTGTTCTCACGAAAGTTGGGTGTGGTTTGATAGTAACTGATGAAATTCATTTTTCTTCAGAATCAGTAAATCAATAGAAGGAGTGGAAATTTTGTCGCGGAAAATAGACGACGGATCAGACCGGCGTCGGAAACATATGTCTGCGAATTTTGCACTGTTTGGTCCACACACAAAAATATAAAGAACACACTAACTAACAATTTACCAACACTCAGCTTTATGTCATAGATTATTATAATAGTCAGAACCAAAGTTTGGCACGTTTTGATGCATTGGAATGTGACAAACGGTGGTTTAGACTTTTGTAGAGTTTGTCAGATAATGACAATAACAACGAAGCGCTTTTTACTCGAACAGGGTCCAAACAGATGTAGAAAGGCTAGCCGCCAGTTTGGGCCGCTTCCGCGGAGTAGGGGTCCTGGAACGACGTGCAACAACACTGCAAAAGGTCCAGTTGGCCGCGAAAGGCGGCTCAGACTGGCGGCCTTCGCTCTCCTACCCGATGTACAAACAAGAACGCTATCACTCCCAGCCCCCTGCTTTCGTGGTAGGGGAGCTGGGGCAAGTAGCGCATCTATATCGAGAGCGCGACAGGCATATTATCCATGTGGAATCATACATAAATGAAATTAGGGATCGGTCGGAGTTTGCCTGTGTTGCTTGTGATATTATAATTATCGAAACTCTGCAGACAAAGCAAAACCTGTGGAACCAGCGGTCTAACTACTTTTGCAAAAGCGTTTCGCAGATCTGGAAAGCGGATATATAATCGGTTCCTGAGGGATAATATACAATGTACATTTTCTTTTTGAACGCCAATGCAACGCGGTATCCTCTACTCGTGAGTGTAAGTTAAACCCTGCGAGCGCGCTTGGGGCGCGACTGCATAGTATTGAACCGTGATGACTCATACAAATAACCCTGTCCAGATACATACATACTTGCTGATTGGAAAAACGTATTTTTTGCTTAGTACAGACACTACAGACTTGAACAACCTTATACTTGTCGCAAATGATGGTTTTTCAAATGGGTGCACTGATTCGGTATATGGGTCCCACGAGTTTCTAGCAGTAAATCACTCATGGCCTTTCATATACTCAGATAATCGCCGGGGGCAGGCGGCCATGCGATTTATGAGCGGGCGGGCACCGGAAAAATAGTTCGCTGATTTCTTGCGCTCCGCTTGCAGATATTTAGCTTGAAGAACAATCGTGGTTTTTTAGGGATTAGCTGCGGCGCAGTGGCCGCATTCTCGCGGACTTTCCGCGAGAATATGCAAAATTTTTGAGGGCCGCACGGTCCTTTGTGGAGGAACGCGCAGCTCCCAGGTACTTTCCGCTGAGAGAAAGTACCTCAAACTTGAGTAATTAAATCAAGGGTAACACCTCTGCCACATAGAGTCTTGCCTGTGCTCGACGTATGCCCGAAACTGCGTAAAAAGAGCCCGAGCGCCTGCTGAAAGTTCGGCCAGCGTTTGCAGAAGGAGATTATTTGACGAGCGCCTGCAGAAAATTCTGTGTTGCTGCCTGCTGGCAGAACATGCGACAGTAATGGAAGTACCGCTCGCTGAAGGTTTGGCCACGCCCCAAAATCCTGCTGACCGCTTGCAGAAAAGCGCGAGTTTGCGGACCGCCTGCACCCGGCGATTATCTGAGTAGGTGACCACTTACTCAAATACAACATCGAGAGCTATTGCGAACAATTTGGATAGGAAAGTAGGGTAAAAGAATGAACAAAACGGTTAAGGAAGGAACTGATATGCCAACAATGTGAAAAATAACGAAGCATAATCAAAGAAAACGTTACTCTGTGATAAGAAAAAGCGCAAGGACTTTGAACGCCGATAAGAACTTTGTCCCCCAAAACTGTTCCAGTTTGCGCATATCTCGGAATTGCCAAAGAACTTTTTGAACTGCGGCTGTTCAAGATGCGGACAGTTCTTACACTGGAGGTCCGTCTAGTGGATGGCCTTTTCACATGATATTGACACGATTCTAAAGAGCGTGAACACTGACAAATCTGTCTACGCTATCTGCCGAGCGCCTCTGGAAGTCGAGTTATGATCGCTTTTTGAGTTGAAAAAGTGAACGCATAATTAGAACAACATTT